CTCTTCCCTCTGAGAGTCCGCACTCTGTTCCATGCTTCCATATCTCTGGATCCACTCCGTTCACCAGTTTATTTTGTTACTTAGATTCCACATATGAGTGTGAGTATGTGATACTGGTCTTTCTCTGACTGACTGCTTTCACTTAGCTTGATACTCTCCAGGTCCAGGACCAGGTTTTTCATCTGAGTTACTTGCCACTCCTTCCATGGGATACTGAGAATTCAAGATAAAGCATTTCTGAAAGGGTTATAGCTCCTTGCCTGAAGGTATTTCTTAAATATAACCACTGACTTGCCAAACTAGAGGCTTATTCAAGAGAAAGGTGAACTAGACAAACGAGAAAAGAAAAGGCTGCTGGGATGCTTGCTGCTGAAGCCAGCACATTTATGTGGGATATGATTTTACTTGTCAGAAAAATGTGGTGCCCCAAAGAAGTTCCTACATCTTTCTAGACTCAACTTTTTAAGAAGGTATTTAACCTGCTCTGTTTTCTTGAATTAATAAAGCATTTACTTTCTAAAAATTTTTAATAACCTCTCAAGTAAATCAGAACTATCTGGGCAGATATGAAATACCAATTTCATTAAACGGTCTTGGAGATTCTAAGTATTCAAGGCAATAGAGATTCAGGAATGAGCAGGACTAATTTCTCTATACTTCATAGGAGTAGAGGATTAAATGGAATAACAGCTGCAGATCCTTGAGAAGGTAGGGGAGAGAAACACAGTAGGGAGAATAAAGTTTGGAAGTTCAGAATGACAAGGCATGAGTCAGAGCTCTGCCAGTTCCTGGGACTCTGAGACTGAGATGAAAAAGTTTCTCTAGTCTGTTTCCTGGGCTATAAAATGGGGATAATACTAACGGGATTTGTCTCAAGGGGCTATTGTGGGTTAACTAAGGTTAAATGAGACAGTGCAGGTGCAATGCCTGGCACAGTGCCTGGTACAGAGTCAATAAACGCTACTAATTTTTAGTGCCTCACACATGATAGTACCCAATATACTATCAATACATGTCCCGTTTGTTTTTTCCTCTAACTTCAACTTCTAAGAGACCTTTCTTGTAAAAGGAAATCTTTAAATTATTTCTTATACCAGTGATGGTGAACCTTTTGAGCTCAGCGTGTCAGCATTTTGAAAAACCCTAACTTAACTCTGGTGCCATGTCACATATAGAAATTTTTTGATATTTGCAACCATAGTAAAACGAAGACTTATATTTTTGATATTTATTTTATATATTTAAATGCCATTTAACAAAGAAAAATCAACCAAAAAAATGAGTTCACGTGTCACCTCTGACACGCGTGTCATAGGTTCGCCATCACTGTCTTATACCAATATGTTTTTCCTTCTGGGGACTCCTGATGTGATGAGACTGTACTGCTCAGAATTCTATAAGGAACTAAATTTGTGTTTAAGATCTCCTGTCACGGGAGTCCACTAACCCACCCACACCCACAACAAACGGGTGCATTAGATGGTAAAAACTGACACGACTCTCAGGACGAAGCCCAGGATGACGAGTGCGAACAGCGCTTCAGGGCCGTTAAAGTGAGATTTGCCATAGAACTTCTCACCCGAGCCTTTCAGCAGCAGAGCTGTGGCTTACAGAAGGCGACAGGGCTGCTGGACTGTAGCTGGGTTTGCATTGCTGATACCATTTTCCACAGCGGACTGCCCGGCTGCCTTACCTGCTGCTTTGAGAAGAGCCGCCATGCGGGTGGAGCCTCTCCCGGCCGCTATGTGCAGGGGTGTCGTTCCATCATAGGTGGTACTGTCTACATCGGCATCACCCTACAACCCGGCCCACACAGAAAATGGTTAGTAGAAAGTTCGCTCGCCCCCCTGACCCGTCTCATGGCTCCTTGAGTTGTATTCCTAGCACAGGTGCCCTGTGGGGCAGGCTCTGCCACTGAAATAATCCCCAGTGAGAGCTCCCGGGCAGGGGCGACAGGAATGTCTGAGGCTGCGGCTCTGAAGCCTTGCGTAGACGTGAAATAAGAGTGGAATGTAGGGAGAAAGGCTGTCACCAACACCGTTTTTTTGAAAAGATTTTCCTAAATCGCCCTTAGAATTTAACGCAAAGGCAAACAAGTGCATCGTTTACCTCCAGGAGCAGGCAGCCGGCCAAGGAGATGTTGTCGTGCTCCACAGCCAGGTGCAGCGCGGTGCGGCCCGACTTCTGCTCCTGCGCGTTGACATCCGCCCCTGCGGCCACCAGCAGCAGCAGACAGGGCATGCTGTTGCTCATCACGGCTATGTGGATGGCGTTCAGACCTGCGGCGCAAGCACAGGGACAGTCACAGGGCGGGAAGGTGGTCCCAGGACGGCCCTCCGTGTAGCTGAAGGAAATGACCAGACTGATCCACGACTAACTCTCCCAAGTCATCTCTGAAGGAATCGGCTCTGGTGAGCAACAGAAATCCTCACAGAGAGGATAACTCCAGGTGACTAAGGTTAAAAGCACTTCGGGTGCAAATCAAATAATAGCACACATTTATCAAACACCGACTAACTGTTTAGAACGCAGATAGCGACGGTTATACCATGATGTGTGGGTTTTCTCTTACCTTCCCCGTTGGGGTGGTTGATCAGCAGAGCTGCTTTCCTGTGCTTGAGTAAAATACCGAGGATCGTTTCCTGTCCTTCTTTGGCAGCAAGGTGCAAAACAGAGTTTCCCAAGCGGTCCAGAAGGCTCAGGTCGGCCCCAGCCCTCAGCAAGTCCTCCACCACAGCCTCCTGCTTGGTGATCACGGCCAAGTGCAAGGGCGTCTGGGAAGGTGGAGAAGGGGCAGGAGATAACACTGTCAGCAGCAAGCACTTACAACCCACGGGCCTGGCAGCCGTCACCGCAGTGGGTCATTTTTCATTCCCAGATCAGCTAAATCCTCACCTTTGCAAAGGAATTACTACTCCCTGTTGCATCTCATTTAGGAATGAAGTATATAAACTGGGCTTTTAGCCACTTATTAAGATTATTTTTCCATTTACCATTCTCAACAGCTTTCTTGTTTCTCATTCCAGCTTACTGATTGCTGATCTATTAACTCATCTATTAGTAAATTTAGTATTCTTGAAATTCTAGTAGGATTCTATCTTCAGCTTATAATTCCACATGTTAACAAATCAAATCAAGGCTACATTTTACTGAAGTTTAAATGAACCACTCAACAGAAACCAATGAACAAAGGTGCTGTTATATTGATAAGGGAAATAAATTTAGTTAAATTAAAAAATATTGTTCCATGGACTGGCCTCCATGAGATCAATCAACAGAACTTTCTAGACCCCATAAAAGGTATCAAAGGATTATCTACTTTATAACTGGGACAATAGCACCACCTCACTAAGAGGGCTCAGATGAACAAACAAGCTGACCTGCTGATACCTAATAGGTAGGTGAAGAATCCGTGTGATTCCCCTGCCCCTGAAGTAGGACCTCAGCGAATGCAAATGTTTTGAAAACTGGGTGTTTTAAATATGCATAGGACAAACAGAATCACAAAAGGATCTTTCATGGAATTGAGGTCACTGACAGAGAACAGCAATCTCTCTATCATCTATCTATCTATCTATCTATCTATCTATCTATCTATCTATCTATCTCCCTACCTACCTATCTATATAATTTAAAAATATATTTTTATTGATTTTAGAGAGGAAGGGGGAGGGAGAGAAACATCAATGATGATCCCACTGGGGATCAAGCTGCAACCTGGGCATGTACCCTGACTGGGAATTGAACTGTGACCTCCTGGTTCATAGGTCGATGCTCAACCACTGAGCCATATTGGCGGGGCAGCAATATATTTTTATACAAATCGGTCTATTTCACAGGAGCCTGTGAAATCCAGCCTGTCTAGTGACAATTCGCTTAAACTTCCCTCTCAGTAAGCAGCTACTGTAGCAGCGCCAGCTAAATGTCCTGGCTGGTGCAGGTGACCACGGCACGTGGGAACTTGGATGGAAGATCTCAGCTGTCTAAGTCTCAATTACACTGATTATTTAATACAGTAGAAACAAGACAGGATATTTTGACATATTTCAATCCTCCCCCCCCCCCCCCCCCCCGATTCTTTTGGTCTTTTAGGACTATGTCATGGCTTGAAATGGAATGATATCCTCAAAACTTTAGGTATGTAGGCTCCTGGCTAAAAGCCTTCCTCTTGAAAAATAAACAAGTAAATAAATAAAAGCTGTTCATTAATCAGAATGCTATTTGGGGAGACAGGAAAAGAAAATAGAATGAGAATAGAAGATCTGAAATAGTAAGATCTTATAGCATTCAGAGATTAGGAATTACTTATAGTATCAATATAATTCTTTTTTATATCATACAAATTCTTTTACCATAAGAGAGGAATTGTTTTGTTTTTTTCAATGTTTTCTCCCATGGTCCCACCAAAAGTTTTTATGATATTTCAGGCTCTAGATCTTAAACCCAGGATTACCTCTTACACAATCACACAATATGGGGACCCAGGAATCACACAATATGGGGACCCATAAACAGAGAAGTGATGCTATGCCTGTTGGCCTGTGGATGTATGCAAACATTCCTCAGAGCCAAGCAGACAAATGCCCCAGCAGCCCAACTCCTGCATGTATGTCTGAGTGATACAAATCCATAGGGGGGCCTGGGTGAGGATACTGATCACAGTATCGTCTACGGAGGTAGGAAGCAAGAAGCTGGCTAAGTGTTCACTGCTGGGAGACAGGTACATTACAGGTGGAAGATGGACACTATGGGATTCTCCTCAGGAACTAGAAACAACAAACCAGCTCTGCACACAGGTGTATGGGTGAATCCCATAAACAGAGAGGGCAGAAATCTAGGGACATGTATAGCACAAAGTCAATTTTGCATTTAAAAAAGACATTCATGAAGAACTATGCACACACACACACACACACGTACACGTAAAACTGAAGCCCAAATAAGATCTGTGGATTGTATCAATGTCAGTTTCCTGGTTTTGATACTGAACTATAGATATGCACGATGTTACCATTGGGGAAACTGGGTGAAGGGTACATGGGACCTTCCGGTACATTTTTTGCAACCACGTATGAATCTATAATTACATCCAGTACAAATGAAGGAAAAGGTTAATGCAGAGCAAGATCCGTATGTATAATATAATGTAGACTATATATGAGAATATACTAAAATATCTACCTATTTAAGGAATTAAGGTATATACCTGCCAGTTTTAAAAACAGTCATGGGGATGTAAGTAAGTACAGCATAGAGAATATAGTCAATAATCTATATATATAAAAGCCTAAGCGACCGTTACAACCAGATGACCGGCTGGTAGCTATGATGCGCACTGACCACCAGGGGGCAGATGCTCAACACAGGAGCAGAAACCACAGGCATGGAAATATGGAACAGACTGATGAATCTCAGAGGGAAAGGGGGAGGGTGGAGGGTGGGAAGAGATTTACCAAAGATCTTATATGCATACTAGAGGCCAGGTGCCCATGCACCAGTGGGGTCCCTCGGCCTGGCCTGCGGGGATTGGGCCAAAACTGGCTCTCCAACATTCCCTGAGGGGTCCAGGATTGCAAGAGGGCACAGGTCAGGTCGAGGGACTCCACCAGTGCATGAATTCATGCACCGGGCCTCTAGTCCTATGTAATAAAAGGGTAATATGAAAATTGACCCTAACGGTGGAACAACCAGATAACCGTTTGACCAGTCACTATGAGGTGCACTGACCACCTCTTGGTCCCTTTCTCCGGCCAGCAGACTCCAATTGCCTGATGGCAAATGGGGAACTGGGGGGTGGGTGGAGGGGATGCAGGTGGTGCCAGGGTAAGGCTCCCACCCCACCAGTTGCCCCACACACAGAGGGCAACCCGCGGCAGGGGCGGGGCAAGCAAACAGGTGGGAACGGCAGACCTATTGGACCCATCCCCCGGCCATCAGGCTCTGATCACCCGATGGCGAACAGGGAACTGGGGGTGGGTGGCGGCAGTGGGCAGGGCTGGCTGCGGGCAGCCGGGGAAGATGGCCCTGATTGCAGGCCAGGCCTAGGGACTGTACCCGTGCACAAATTTCGTGCGCCAGGCCTCTAGTGTTACAATAACTATGCATGGTGTTATATGGGTACTAGAATTTTCAGGGTGATCATTTTGTAAATTATATAAAAGTCTAATCACTATGTTGTACACCTGAAATAGTGTATGTCACTATAATAGTGTATAATAGTATATATCAACTGTAATTGAAAAATAAAAAAAATAAAGCTTATATGTTTATGTAGCTGATACATGGGAAAATACTTACAAACATAATAGTTCTATTTGGGAGTGGGGCTGGGAAACTTGCATGTTGCCAGGGAGGGCAACTTGGGATTCTCCAAGGAATGTACATCCTTCTGTGCCATTTTAAAAACTATGAATATATATTATATTTATCACAATTGAAAACAAAAACTACAGGCACAAAAAGCCCCACTAATGTTTTATAGGAACATATGCAAATAAAACAACCCACATCAAACACACTGGAGTGGTTGTCTACGTTGGAGTGAGAGGAAGGGGAGAGGAAGTAGGGTTGAAAGGGAATAGATTACAGAAATATTTTCAGAGAAACCTTAGCTCTATGGACTTGGGTTATTCTGCGTGTGTCTCTAGAGGGTGGGTGGGGAGAGAGATTTGATCATGACAGATGGCCACAGAAATGTACTAAGATTAGAGAAAAGTATTTTGGGACAATGTTTAAGACAATTGCCAAATAATCCAAATACTTAGAGAACTGCTCAAATTCTCATCAAGAATAGTTAATACAGAACCTTTACAGTAGCTAAACAAGAGTCCAAGTCTCAGTGGTTTCTAGCTCTCAAATCGAAGTTGCCGTTGGGTGTGTGTTTGAGATGTAGAAAGCATACAGGGAATCTAGAATCTTTGCCCACTAGCAAGAGTAGTGGGAAGGGAGGGAAAAAATAGGCCTGTATTCTCCTGAGAGTCCACGAATCAGAAGGCTCAGAAGTGGGATTGCTGGGTCAAATGGCAGTTCCATTTTTACGTTTTTGATGAAACTCCATACTGTTTTCCATGGTGGCTGCACTAGTCTGCATTCCTACCAGCAATGCACTTAGGGTTTCTTTTCCTTCACACCCTTGCCAGCGCTTGTTTATTGGTTTATTGGTGGTAGCCATTCTGGCAGGTGTGAGGTGATAACCTCATTGTCATCTTAATTTGTATCTCTCTGATGATTAGTGATGTTGAGCATTTTTTCATGTCACTTAGCCATCTGTATGCCCTCTTTGGAGAAGTGTCTATTCAGGTCCTTTGCTCATTTTAAAATTGGATTGTTTGTCTTCCTTTTGTTGAGTTGTATGAGCTATTTATAGATTTTGGAAATTAACCCTTTATCAGATGTGTCACTGGTGAATATGTTCTCCCATACAGTGGGTTCCCTTTTCATTTTGATGATGAGTTCTTTCACTGTGCAGAAGCTTTTTAGTTTGATGCAGACCAACAGATCTCAGAGGGGAAGGATGGGGAATGGGAAGAGATTATGTGAACTTATATGGATGCATGCATAGCCCATAGACAAAGACAGTATTGTGGTGGGGCAGGGGCTGGTTGGAGTGGGGCAAAGGAGGAGGGGGGATGGGGGACATCTGTAATACTGTCAAGAATAAAAATATATATTAAAAAATAATAAATATATATATTTTAAAAAGGCTCAGAAGTGCCACAGGTGGTGGTTTCAAGGTTTTGTCTCTAGCACGCACAGGAGGAGGGGGGTGGGGGACATCTGTAATACTGTCAAGAATAAAAATATATATTAAAAAATAATAAATATATATATTTTAAAAAGGCTCAGAAGTGCCACAGGTGGTGGTTTCAAGGTTTTGTCTCTAGCACACTGGAGTCTCAATATATGTAACCAAATGATCTAGTAAGGAGGTTAGCACATAATAAATCACAACTACGGATCCTGTTGTACTGTGTCCTTTGCAGGTCCTATTTATAAACAGAAAAACAAGTAATTCCTTGAATCTGACTTACAGGCAGTGAAGTTAGCAGTCTTTGAAAGGAGGACCGCAAAGTGACAATGTCCCGTACCTAGTCTGACTTGTATAAGTGGATGGTGAAAAGGCACAGTCATTCCAAAAGCCTCAGAGACTCAAGCTTTATGGCCAAATGACTTTCCAAATACTAACAACCCTCAAAACGGTATGAAAGATATCCTTTACATGTACTGTATCTGAAACTAGACCTCACCCTGGTTATTTTATATCATGAGTCAGTGAGGAATCCCTAACCTAACTTCACTTGTCCTTTGACATGAAGCCCAGCAGCCAGAGAAGAAGCCTTACGTCCAATGGGAACTTGTGATTTTGCCTTCTCAGGAAACACTTATTCACAGGCAAAAATCTATCGACAGCTACATGTAAACATTTTAGTACTTTTGCTTTGAGGGAATAAAAAGGATTCATATCTTCTGCTTTAAAAATTGAGAACTAGCCCTTTATCATGTAAATACTTGTATGCCATCGAAGTCTGTATTTTCAGAGTGAGAGAGATGCTTGAATCAGGCATCCCAGCACACCGTCTAGGCCAAGGACTGGGTAGTCACTCTGGGTTGAGTGAAGGCAGGGAAAAAACAGGACAGCTGAGCAAGGGTGAGCCCAACAGACTGGGACAGAAGCCTGGTGGGGCCAGGACAGCTCCCAGGGGAGAGAGGTGGGAGCAGCCCTGGAAAGTGGAAGCCCCCTCTCCCCACGCTAGTGCAGCCGTAGGTCCCTTAGCCAGGGAGACTGGTCCAGGTCTTAGGGCTCCCAGCACCCAGGCTTTGGTTCTGTTCAAGCAGGTTTACTCTTTCCTCACCTGACATGTGCATGCGCTCAGCAGGCAGCCTCAGGAGGCTCCACCTAACCTCTCTCTGCAACTCTGAAGGCCTCTCTAATGGAGTTCCTCAAGTGGCTTCTGAGCTGTCTTTCTGTTTTTGAAAGACATTTTTTCTTTCTCAGGCAGCCTTTTCATCTTTTTGTATTCTGATTGCATCAGCACCTTTTGTTTGATATATATGTAATTTAAGGGTTGTCAAAATGTGTTTCAGCAGACTTCAAAATTCTCGTAAACTATTGGCTTTGCAAACTAAATCTTTTTCAGTTTTATTTTTCTTGACAGACGTGATGCATTTATACTAGGTTCTCCCTCTAAAATGGATGGACTCTTTGACGGCTTCTAAAGTTTAAAGTTCACCTTCCTGCAGCAGATGTGACCTTTCACTGTGGGGTGATTGCTAGTACACCAGATCAAAGCATCCTAATTCATTAAAGAACATTCCTCAGTGATAGGCTTTGAGGATCTTACCTGCAAAGATGTTTTGTTGTATGGTTCGCTACTGCTAACATTCTTAGAAATAACACACCACACACACACACACACACACACACACACACACACACACACACACCCCATAGATTTTTCACTTGAATCCTTGATAGTTCTGCTTACCTGGTAGAGGTCATTTCTCATGTTGATAATGTCATCCAAAACCAAACCAGACGTGACTTCCAGCAGATCCCTCACAAGCTGAGCATGCAGGTGGATGATTGCTAAGTGTAAGACACTGGAACAAAAATATAATGGCAACAATCAGCTAAAATGTAAATGGGAAAAAAAAAGATTTCCAAGATATGATTAGACTTGGAGACTGCATCTGGCTCTTATACCTAGTTTTCTTTAGCCCCCAAATGTTCTGAATCAATAAAATGTCTGAATCTGAGGTGGGGGTGTTCTTCTGCCTACCCAGGGCTCCTACACTCATTTACGGTGCCTGCCTCGTCTTTGGGGGCTTGCAGGTTTGATACTCCCCTGAGGGGGAAAGGCACCTGGGCTTTGAGGCAGAGAGCTGAGTTCAGATCCCCACTCTGCCCTTGTGCTATGGCTTCAGGGCACTTTCTCCTCTAACTTTCCCTGACATGTAGACAATGCACGTCAGGTGCCTGAACTCGGATCTGTTCAGAAAATGTAGCTACTAGTACTTCACCTGCCCTGCCGTCCTGCAAAGTACATTGTGGTGGCTTTTTAAGATCTTGAAGTCAGGCTTTTAATGAGTAGAAGACTCTTGAGGCAAACTTTTTTTTAAAATAAAGTATATTTTCATTGATTTCAGAGAGGAAGGGGAGGGAAAGAGAGATAGAAACACTAATGATGCCAATCACTGATCAGTTGCCTCCTGCACGCTCCACATGGGATCGAGCCCGCAACCTAGGCACGTGCCCTCTCCGGGAATCACACCATTGACCTCCTGGTTCATAGGTCATTACTCAACCATTAAGCCTTGCTGGCCAGGCGAAGCAAACTTTTGAAGGAATACTTGAATATATTTTTCCCTCGCAGATATTCCCTTGGCCTGAAATGGTTTTGCTCCTCTCTTCTCTGTGTGGACAGTGCCTCTCCATCTTCACACTCCAGTTCAAACCTTACATCCTTGGAGAAGACTTCCCCAACTTCCTAGGCAGAAAGCGTTGTCTCCTCTCAAGTTTACCACTTGGCTGCACAACTACAATTTTCTCGACATCTCTCTCCCTCTCTGGCCTCGGAGGCCAGTTCTATCTGGGTCAGCCTGACAGGCCTGGAACAGCTTTATAGTTTAGGCACTATACTAAGGATGACAGAGGAAACCTAGAAGCTTACACCAACAAGGTAAAAAATGTTGGTGGTTGCCAAGCACCACTCCATTTTTTTAATTGTTAAAAAACTTATTATTAAATTAATTTGATAACAACAATAAAAGTGGCTACTGTTTGTTTAGAGCATCTATTTACCAGACTGCTAACCACCTGACATACATGATCTCCTTTATCATAACAACAATCGGACGAGATAGGTAATATTATCCCCATTTTTCAGATGATGAAACTGAGACTCATAGGTATAACAGAATTCAACCTGGGTCACAGAGCTAGAGTGGGGAAGCTGGGATTTAAGCTCAGGTCAGTCTTGCTCCGAAGTCATCTCTTAATCCTGTTTTAGGGGCATGTGTGCATTGCTCTGAAGGGTTGCAGGTGAACATCTAAGAGGATGAATACGCTCAAGTAAGGGCAGACTGTGATGCAGGGCACACTCAAAGTGTCACACGGTGGCAGTACATCTGCGATTGGAGGCACAGACTGGATCTGCTCTAATATAAAGATAATAGGTGTCATTTCATCCAGGCCTTTTTCTTAGCTACAGCAAGGGTATCATCCTTAGGATTGACATCGGCACAGAAGGGCCTCAGAAACTAAACTGTGACTCCATTACTTGAGAGAGATTTTTCAATGAATGTACTGTCACACGGTGGCAGTACATCTGCGATTGGAGGCACAGACTGGATCTGCTCTAATATAAAGATAATAGGTGTCATTTCATCCAGGCCTTTTTCTTAGCTACAGCAAGGGTATCATCCTTAGGATTGACATCGGCACAGAAGGGCCTCAGAAACTAAACTGTGACTCCATTACTTGAGAGAGATTTTTCAATGAATGATTTCAGAGTTTCACTACTGTCTCTTGAATGAGAGGCTGGAAGAAGACTTCTGAAAATGGCCTGAAGTCTGACGCACACATGATGCACATATACCAAGAAAAAGGCCACACTTCAAAAACGGCCTAAAAATTTCCATGTGCAGCTCAGCACTTCATAGCAGAAGTCACTTCCCCTTCCTCCCCAAATCCTCACACCCTCATGGGAATTTCCCCAATACCAGAAGTTTTTATGATTTTTTTGTCTTTATTGTATTTTCTGTGATGACTAATAGCCACAGGATTCAGATTATTAGCTGCATATGACAAGCTCAGTGAACACAAGAGGCCTGAGCTCTGAAGGGCAAAAGGCATCCCTTGTCTACATTCTTTTGGGGACTCCTCTTTGGTCTCCCCAAGTCTCAGCTTTCTGGCCTCTGGCTGTGTCAAGCCCCTGAGAGCCTGCTGGCATGGGTATGTCTGGGGTCCTAGGAGGGGACCCTAAGTCTTGATTTCCTGCTTGGGCAGGGAAGGCCACCTCCTCAGCGCCTCTATAGATGCCTGGAGTCCTTATACATGTGTCTGCCTCCCCCTCAGTGCACCCACTTGAATTCATGCGCCTTGTACCCTTCCCACAACCCCCCCTTCCCACGCCAGCGGTCTCTTTCTAACTGGTATGTGCTCGTCTTTCTTAGGCTCATCCATTCAGCAGGTCCCTAAAAATGTCACTGCGAATGCTGCTGTCCTGCCTGGGTTGACTGCTTTCTCTTGTGGTTATTCGCTATTGAGTGCTAACTGGAGAACTTAACCCAGTTGAAAAACATTCTGCTGTTCATGACATTACACAAAGAAGGGTGCGCCGGTTCCTCTCATACTGTATAACAAGGCCAGTGGTTATACCACATCCTTGGTTACGCTGCAAGGAATGAGAACAAAGGTCTCTGAAAACCTGAGATTGGCACTTTCCTAAAGCCTTGGGTTCGGTTTTTAAGCTGAGGTTTAAAACACAGCACTCAGGAGCCCTTTCACAGAAAAGGATTCCACTGTCAACACTATTTTAGGAAGGTTTTAGATAAAGCATTTGATTGAATCTGAGGGCTGCTGTCTTGTTACTTTTATAGGCTGCTGAGATCATTTTAGAAGTCTCAATGAGAGGACGAAGAGAACCGTTTTAGAAAGAAGCCAGGTGGCTCTGCAAATACAAGCCCAGTCACAGCAGGAATGGGAGGCATGGTGTTGGGAATGTCAGACTCCCGTGCAATGTGGGTTAGAGCGGTCATGAGCCCGAGCCAGTCACAGACTGGTGACCATGAACAGAGGCAGTAGAGAAGGAACCAGTAACCAGGAAAGAATGACATTTGCGTCTTAATCATTTTGTTGTTATGCTGTCTTTTATTTTTAAAAAGACTACAGCACCCAGACTTTCTTGGCTATCTCCCATCTAAGTCCTAGCCAGGCCTCACCCTGGCTTAAGCTTCCCAGATCAGACAAGATCGGGAGTGTTCAGAGTGGTATAACCATAGGATGTGATGTCTTTATGGGGCTTTCTCTCGAGTAACTAGCATTATAAATATACTGTTGGGATAACAAGTGCTTTAGGGATTTGGTAGGACCACATTTTATTATTATCCCAAAGCAAATAATATTAAAGCAAATATTATTACTCTTCATATATATTTACTAAATATTATTCCAAATTTTATTTCCATAAATAAAGCAAGGCTCTTAAAAAAGTACTGCCCCCCCCAACAAACACACACACACACACACACACACACACACACACACATTTAGTTTCCTTGCCCAGAATGCTGTGCTCTTAGGTGAGTATTCCAGTGATTCTAGAGTCCAGGCGGTGAGAGCCAGAGGACAGAAGAAGCGAATTATGCCACTCAACCTTACTGACACATTCTTTTCCTTGAAAGACAGTGTTCCAGTTACAGGATCCAATCATTTTGCTCAACCCTCCTTTTCTCCAGCCAGCACGCACACCTTCATTAGCTCTCTTCCCTGCCCTAAAGCAAGCCTTGTATACAGAAGTCTGGACTTACCAGTCCCCATTCTCATCCTGCACAGCAGTGAGATGGCGCTGGACAGCCAGGAGCATCTTCACGTCTCCGGTCACTGCGTAGTCAAACAGGGCGTTGGCATGCCGCTTGGCGAGCTCCAGCGCCTTCTCCAGAAAGAGGTTGTCTGCAAGGCAATGACCAAAATCACAACGGAGTGTCTTAGACTTGCTCTACAGGTCTGGCATGCTGGAGGGCAAAACCATCAGCACCAATGCTCCTTGCAGTGCTTCTGGGTTGTGTTCACGAGAGAAAGCACAGCTGGACACTGGCTCACTGGCACACACAGAGGCTGGTCTGAAAAATCGATCTACCGTTTCTTAGGGGGAAAGAAGTTTAGAAATGTCTGTCATTTAAAGAGGAACAATCCATCTCCAAATAAAGTTGATTGGATTTGGCCATCATTATAAATACTTAATCTCTTGGTGAAATAATTGATCCTTCACTGGAGTCTTGAGCAACTCACTCGTTAGGCAAGTGTCAAAAACCACAGTCCCTGCCAAACACAGAGAGATTTTCAGGAGCCACTGGTGTTTGGTACATTTCTTCCTGAAGGTCAGGGAAGGCACCTTGTGGCCCGTGGGGGCAAACCCTGGGCGTGGCCTGTTCTTACATGGCCCTAGTTAAGCAGGGCTTGTTCGTTCTAAAGGGGTGTAAAAAATGGGGTGACAGAGACCATATGTGGCCCCCAAGTCTAAATATTTACTATCTTTCCCTTTACATTATGAGTATAATCTGGGATGACCTAGAATCCTGACCTAGACTCTAATGACCATTGGTTCAAAATACACATAAAAGCACACTGTCCCTCCTAATCCTGATTCTTCAACAAGGGCACCAGGATAAAAGGAAACGTTCTTATTTTGAGGCAAAGTTCCACTTTAGTATGACAGTCAAGCTACAAGCTAGAGAAGGGAGACTATGCAACTTATAGAAACTACTTGTCTCTGTTATCTGTGGTAGAAATGAATTAGGTTCTGTCTCAGATACCATAAACCTGTGTGATTATGACTGGAGAATGCGCATGTAAATTTCAGTACTTTGTATAGTCAGAGACAACACTGGGAGAATGGACATCCCAGTGTGAATACAATGACCTGACAGGTGCTTTTCAAAAGGCACACAGGACTCTGGAGAGCACACTGAACTAGACATGGCTATGTCATCTTTACAGTAACAGAAAAAACAAATCTGTTTTCTGGAAACAACTTTTACACCTCGCACCGACTCATCCCCTCACCCACCATGCAGTGTAATCATCTGCCTGCTCACTTACCCTGAAACCTGGAATTCTCTTTCTTTACTCCCACCGGATACGTCAGAGTACCCTCCTCGTCCCTCTGGCCAGACCCCTTATCTGGTTCTGTGGTTTCAGTGACTTTCCCAGAGAGACTTATAGCCCCTCTGCCGTCACTCTCGTCATAACCTTCAGGGTCATTTTTAGATGAGGTGTCCATGATTCCTAAAATAAAAGAAAAAACACTGACTTTTTCTCAATAAAATCTATTTGTTAAATTATAATTCATTGTTTCAATGGAGGTCAGATAATTTAAAATTCTCTTTAAAATGGACATAAGTAACATGCTTTGTAGCTATTTTAAACTCTTCTAAAAACATTTTACAGTATAATGATTTGATATTTGCATATATTGCAAAATGATCATTACAATAAATCTAGTTAACATCTGTCAGCACACACAGTTATAAATATTTTTTTCTTGTGATGAGAACTTTTAAGATGTTAAAACCCATTTTTTTCACTTCTAAAAACTTACATCTCTTCTGTTTATTTGTAAGGGACAAAATGAAATAAAGCTCTTCTGGGAATTGCTGGAAAGTAAAATTTTTAAAGTTCTTGAAAGCAGAGGACTTCTTTCTTTCCTATTGCTAATTAACCAAGTGAGTTGTAAAGATGTGATCTCAATTCACATTCTTCAGTGTGGGAGTGACCCAGTGCATCATTTCGGATCATGCTCTTTCAGGTCCAACTATGTTGTCTGACAGGTCCGAGGAGAGAACACCTATGTTTTATGGGCAGACCTGGTTCAAATCCTGGTTCTGCCACTAACAGATATATCTTTCAGTGAATGAATGAATACTTCCCAACCTCAGCGTTCTCTGATTGTTAAATGGAGATGCTAATATTTTCCTTACAATGCAATCATGAAGATTACTTAAAACATGTTAAAGCAGTGGACATAAAACAGCATGCAGTAGAAGGGAAGACTTCGTTGTATTATGTCTTCAATGGGAACACTAGAATGGACATGTAACATAAACTATGAATACATGGTGTGACAGCTGCTGATTAGGGGAAGCATTGATGGGAAAAGGCCATCCCTATAAAATTCACAATGTCTACAAAAGTATAATGTTTGAAAAAAAGAGAGAATAGCTAAGTTTGATAACTTTTTTATGTTTGAACTAGAGGCCTGGTGCACAAAATTCATGCACTTGGGGGGGGGGCAGTTCCTCAGCCCAGCCTGTGCCCTCTCACAGTCCAGGACTCCGTGCTCCTTATCGCCTGCCTGCTCACTGCTCCTTACCGCTTGACTGGCTCGCTGCTCCTTAGCACTGCGGCAGAGGCGGGAGAGGCTCCTGCCACCAATACTGCGCTCGCCAGCTGTAAGCCTGGCTTCTGGCTGAGCGGTGTTCCCCCTGTGGGAGCACACTGACCACTAGGGGGCAGCTCCTGCCTTGAGCGCCTGCCCCCTTGTGGTCAGTGCATGTCACAGCAATCAGTTGCTCTGCCATTCAGTCAATTTGCATATTAGACTTTTATTATATAGGACTAGAGGCCCGGTACATGAAATTCGTGTGGGGGGGCGGGGGGGGTGTCTCTCAGCCCGGCCTGCATCCTCTTGCAATCCAGGACCACTGGCTCCTAACCGCTCACCTGCCTGCCTGCCTGATTACCCCTAACCACTCTGTCTGCTTGTCTCATTGTCCCTAACCCCTCTGCCTGCCTGATAGCTCCTAACCACTTGCCTGCCTGCCTTATCACCACTAACCATTCTGCCTGCTTGCCTGATAGCCCCTAACCCCTCTGCCTGCCTGCCTGATTACCTCTAACTGCTCACCTGCCTGCCTGATTGTCCTTAATTGCTTTCCTGCCTGCCTGATCACCTCTAACCAATCTGCCTGCCTGCCTCATCACCCCTAACCACTCTGCCTGCCTGCCTCATCACCCCTAACCACTCTGTCTGCCTGCTTCATCACCCCTAACCACTCACCTGCCTGCCTGATTGCCCCTAACCACTCTGCCTGCCTGCCTGATCACCCCTAACTGCTAGCCTGCCTGCCTTATCACCCCTAACTGCTCGCCTGCCTGCCTGATCACCCCTAACTGCCTCTGCCTTGGCCACCCGCCCGCTGTAGCAGCCGCCTCTGCCTCGGCCCCCGTGGCATCGTCCAGAAGGTCGTCTGGAAGGACGTCAGGAAGGCCGTTTGGCTGTCCAGTCTAATTAGCATATTACCCTTTTATTATCATAGATAGTCAAGTCTCTATATGTCCCTTTTTAATGTCCTTTTCTTTCCCCCCCGTTCACACCACTTACAAAGTAAAAATGTAAGTATAAACATAGCACCAAGAGAATTCTCCTCAGGAAATAAAAAGTTTTTTTTAAAAGCATCTTCTTAGCTTATTTGCATTCTTCATTTTTTTTCAAGATGATAATGCTGTTGTGATAAATAATGATAAAAAAGGATAAAAATCCTATTTGGCATTAAGTTTTTTCTTCTTTCCTCAGTATTAAAAAAATGTATTACTTACCATGCTTCATCCCAGCATTAGATTTAGTGGTTCCAGGGTGGAAGGTAATTCCACTGTATGTTGGAAATCCATAGTGGGGGAAGCCATACCCTGAAATGGCAAGTAAAACAAAGGACCCCTCAGGAGGTTTATTTTTTTACAAAGATTCAGCAACCTCAATGTCCCCCATCCAGGTGAGCACAGGCTTGGGTGTGGGAGGGCATTTGCCGGACACAGTTGAGAGTTAGCAAGATGCATCATGGGGGGGGGGGGCCATGGATGAGCAGAGTTCCATTCTGACAAATTGACACCTGGGCAGGTCAGGCAGTGCCCAGGCTCGGGGCAGCACAGGGGAGTCCGTGCTGGAGAGAGGCTAACGATGAGTGGTCACCACCCAGAGGCGGACTTGCCGACACAGAAGACAGGAAAATAACCGCTGGAGGAGAGCATGGAACCAACCAAAACACAGAAAAACATGGATGAGCAGAGTTCCATTCTGACAAATTGACACCTGGGCAGGTCAGGCAGTGCCCAGGCTCGGGGCAGCACAGGGGAGTCCGTGCTGGAGAGAGGCTAACGATGAGTGGTCACCACCCAGAGGCGGACTTGCCGACACAGAAGACAGGAAAATAACCGCTGGAGGAGAGCATGGAACCAACCAAAACACAGAAAAATATACTGACTTCTCAACAGAAACAGGGCTATCTGCTTATTCTCAGGCAATTTTGGTAGAAGCATAAACTGGTAAAAGTCTTTGGGAAAGCAGCTGGTCTTAGATGCTATATCAGGGGTACTCAAACTACGGCCCTCGGGCCACATGCAAATACAAATATTGTATTTGTTCCTGTTTTGTTTTTTTACTTCAAAATAAGATATGTGCAGTGTGCATAGGAATTTGTTCATAGTTTTTTTTTTTTAACTATAGTCTGGCCCTCCAACGGTCTGAGGGACAGTGAACTGGCCCCCTGTTTAAAAAGTTTGAGGTCCCCTGTGCTATACTCTTTGACCTAGTAATTTTACTTCAAAGAATCTAATCTTTAAAAAATCTGCAATAAAAGAAAAGCAACGTGGATAGAAGAGTTCAGTATAACATTTTACATAGAAAAAGGTGACAATAGTCAAGAAAGTCATATTATAGTCTGTTCACTTGATGAACTATTATAGTCATTTAAACTGATGCTTAAAAGATATGCTTATGTGAAGTTGATATTACCTTGAGGAAATGGTTATGGCAACCCATTAGAGAAAAGCAGCATAAAGATTCTCTACATACAATCATCATGAATGTGATAATAACAGCTAATACAAGTAAATGGATTAAAATACTGTGCGTAATAAGGATATGCACAGCTGTACTTGGGAAAATGCAGCATAATAGACTATAATCTAGGAACAGAAAATATTAGAAGTCATGCCTTGGATAGTAGGATTTTATGTATTTTGAAACTTTCTATAATTTTCAATGTTTGCAAAGAATACCAAAACAACTATGACACGACAAAAAATAAAAAGAGGGAATATACCAAAATGTTAACAGAGGTCTTCTTTGGCCAACTGGCCTTGGGTGGCTTTTTTTCTTTTTAGAGTTTTTGGTATTATCTACATGTTGTAAAATGAAATGGCACTTTTTTGAAAAAGTTATATTTGTTGGGAAATTTTAATTTAACGTATCACACTCAATAATGTCATAGCCACTCCACCCACAGATAAACTGGGAAATCTAGAGAAAGAAAATTCTCCCCTCTCCGATGTGAAAAAGCTTTAGAAAGAATAGACCTGGTTCATACCTGGACCAGTGGTTCCAGCGCCCCCTCCTCCACCGCCACTGCCGTACATGCCTCCACCTCCTGCCCCGGCACCGCCACCACCGCCGAAACTATCCGAGAAATTGGGCATGAGTTTCTGCCGCTTCCTCTGCACTTCCTCTTTATCTGTCGTTAAAGGAAGAGAAACCAGAGGAGAAAAAATTGATTCAGTTCCACTACTAGCCACAGAAAGAATATTGATTCCAATGGTATTTTTAAACATCTTAAAGGGAAACAGAAAGCACCCAAGGAGGAAGAGATGCCAAATTTCAAGAAGCATTATATTTATTCCAGTGATACAAAGACCGAGAACCAGCCTGAGAGAGACCACAGAACAGCACACACCCAAGTCCCCTCTGCAACAGTCTCTTAAGTCTCCAAAGTCATACAAATTAGTGAGACACTAAATTGCCCATCAAAGATTAAGATACTGAGTAAGAAAAACATTACTGAGCATTTTCACTTGGTCATACAGAACAGCTCTGGCTAACCAGCTAATGTTAATTACGTATCTCCCATGAGCTAAGTTTTGGGCATACAGAGAAGTAGGACATTATGTCTTTGCTGTCAAGAACCTCCCGATATAATGTGAAGGCCATGGGGGAAACTTTGAGAGATAGCACTACAATGCGATACATGTTGAATGCATGGTGCAAACCAATGTTTTTAGGAGTTCAAGGAAGGGCCTCAGGGAAGTGCCAGTGGGCTGGAAAATTCAGAAAAAGTCTCCTAGAATCAACTTTTTGTCAGGAGAGGGCAACAGAAGGGTGTTCTGGGAAGAGGATACAGAGGGCGATAACGAAGGAAAGAGTGTGCACTGTGTATGTACGAGGACAGCAGCAGGGCAGTTTAGCTGCAGTGAAAGTTTAGTATGAGGAATTCTTGAGAGACAGCCCCGATAGGGACCACACTGTGGAGCACCTGGAGGGTGAACTGAAGGGGTTTAACTTACAGGCAGGAGAGCCAGCCAACATTTTTGAACTGGGGAAAGATGTGTGGTGCTGGTATTGGAGGAAATTCATCTGTCACTGGTATATCGGAGAAAATAAACGGGTCAAAGTAAGCCCTGACAGGTGTGGTTCAGTGGGTTGGAGCATCGTTTCATACACCAAAAGGTGGCAGGTTCCATTCCTGGTCAGGGCACATACCCAGGGTGTGGGTTTGATCCCCAGTCGGGGAGTGTGTGGGAGGCAACCGATGGATGTTTCTCTCTCACATCAATGTTTCGCTCTCTCTCTTTCTCTCTTCCTTCCTTTCTCTAAAATCAATAAAAAAGAGTCAAAGTGAGAGACAGAGACAGTGCAACTCTCTCTCCTTCTCTCTTCCTTCCTTTTCTCTAAAATCAATAATAAAAAAGAGTCAAAGTGAGAGACAGAGACAGTGCAGACATAAGTTGACGGAGACTGTTCCTTGGTTACCATGGTAATGAAAATAGGTGGTGCCCAGAAGTACAATGAAAGAGGGGTCTGTCACCCTTGGGGTGATGGATGAGAGAGGAAGGCTAAAGGTCTGTGACCACTACTGGACTAAAATATAGTGACTGTCCAGGTCTAGGTACTCGTTAGACCCTTCCCTCATTCCTCGTGTAGTTGCTCTATTTTTCTTTTGCTTCTCACTATCAGTGCTTCTTAACAGCTCCACTGCCCTTCTCTCTTGGCTGAAGGAATAAAAATAAAAGATTTTTATTTAAATGGAATACACAGTTAACGTGGTATCCTTTTTTCCCATCAGCAGCAGCCTGTCCTATTTCTGATTTTTCAATGTCAGTTGTGGACGCTGTTTATGTGCAGAAATAAGTATCTTCCCTTCTTTCTAATCCTGCAGCTGTTTCTGTCATCTCAGGGCTAGGAAGAATGCTGCTGTTTACTGATGTTCTCTCGATCATCCGAGTGCAGATGAAAGATGAAGCAGGGGAAAGTAGGGGAGCAAAGCGCACTTAGAAAATCATCGTTTAAAAACTGATCATTTCCGGACTTGTTAGGAAGAAAAACAGCCAAGGAGGGTCAACTCTGAAGAAACTGTGCTTCCACAGAAAGAGCTGACTCAAAGTGGAGAAACACCAACAATTTCCTTACCAAAGGGTTTGGACAGATTTATCAAATTTTCCACCAGTTGTACAATAACTAATCGTCACACTTATTTACTCATCCTATAAACTGTTGCACTCACAGAGAATATTATTTCATTAGGAATATGAAACAGGAGAGGGACACAGGCAACTTATTCATCTTTAGAAAGAAATGATATCTACTGATGTGCTTCCTAGCACAGAGATCATTTTGTATTTGCTATGTATTTCTTTAGACTTATACAGCAGATGTCCACTGGTTACATTTCACTCTAAAATTTTAAGGGTCAACTTAAAAAACTATTTACCCTATAACCACTAAAAATCTCAAGGACAAGAAATTGATACAGATAATTCCATGTGACAAGCTTTTTAATTAAAAAAATCTACAGTCTAAATGTCCATGGAATTGAAGATTACATGAAGATTTTCACACTGGGCTCATATATCCTTGTGGTCTGCCTCCGACAGTGGCATCATGGGATGCTAATTCTAGAAGGGACCTAATTCTAGAAGGGACCTAATTCTAGAAGGGACCTAAGCCTAGAAGGCCACTGACTATAAGCCCTTCTTTTCCAGTAGAGGAACCGAAGCTAAGATGATTAAAGGACCTGTTTGAGGTCAGGGCAGAGTGAAGATCAGGTCCAAAGTCTAGTGAGCTTTCCATTTTAGTAAGCTGCTATTCTTTGGAAAACATAATTTAACATAAACATGTAATTTAAAGGTTATATTGTTTCTTCCTAAGCTCCATCTTTTCAGACTGAAAAGTCACATGGTCTTCCTTTGCTTTTGCATAGCCGTTCCTCACCTATTTATTTTTCCCTTGCCAATCATCCATCTCTTGATTATTTTAACTGTCTCCCCTGGACTCAAACATCTCCATGGAGTTTTTATGAAGGACAATGCCAATGACATAGAGGATGCAGAGTTCAGGGCTGGATGGTTCTGAATAATGAGAAGAATATGTTATTATTTTTTTAATCTAATCTCCTACTGGATGGCACTCCACAAATTACTGGCCTTTTGGATGAGGCTGGAAGCTTGGATAATCAATCAGTAAGTCAGCTCTCAGATATTTAATGAGCATCTATTAGGTGACACATACTGTTCTAGGTGCTGGAGGTGTAGCAATTAACATGAAAAGCCAAATCTGTGACCCAAAGAGTATTTCTCTTGCTGGAGGCAGGAAGAAGACAATAGACACATAAATTAGTAGAGAAGACAATTTTACATACTGATAAAAATAACGAAGAATATAAATTTAGACAATGAGGTAGAAGGTGACTGCAGAGGATGGGGGCAGTGGAAAGTGTGTACAATGACTTCTGAGAAATGGGTTGCATAGTTTGGATCATTTTCATACATTTACTCTTATGTGAACTGGGCTATTTTTCTGATCTGTCACATGCCTGGTGTTATTGGCTCTCCTTGTGATTATTTCACTTTGGGATTTTATAATCCAGAAGGTTTTAGAGGCTAAGGTAATTTGTTATCTTCAATATAAAGTTCTTATCTCACAATGACTCAATCACAATGTATGCTGGTCATTCTTTCTGTGCAGCTCAACTGCTAACTCTGATTTTTCTAGATGGTTCTTTTTTTAAAAACTTTGTTTTGTTAATCCTCAGCCGAGGATATTTTTCCAATGATTCTTAGAGAGAGTGGAAGGAGGGGGAGGGACACACAGAGAGAAACATCAATGTGAGAGAGACACCTCGATTGGTTGCCTCATGTGGCGCCCCAACCAGGGCCCGGGATTGAGCCTGCAACGGAGCTACGTGCCCTTGACCGGAACTTAACCTGGGACCCTTCAGTCTGCAGGCCGATGCTCTATCTACTGAGCCAAACCAGCCAGGGCCAGATGGTTCTTCTCTTTTTGTTTGTATTGCATGGAGCTTTTAGTCAATGGTAGCCTGGAAGGTAAGTGCTTGAAGCATCTGGGTGGGATGTTGAACTTTCCAGACACTCCGTTCTCTAAGCCCACCATCAGATAGCTCCTACCACGACAGGGAAGCAATGAAAATAATAGTCTGCACACGTGCCTCCTGTATCATAGTCTTCTGATGCCTAGATACCACTGGGAAAGGGAGACATGCAGCCTAGAAACCAAGCTCAGCTTTTAATATTTCTAGGCTCATACATACCTGGGTTTCCCCTTTAAACACAATTTTCTGTGTTAGAAAAACTGTCATTTTGAAGACATTTCAGGGCAAGAAATCTATTTTCTTTTCTCAGAAAGTAAAAAGAAAATTTGTCTACTTTTAAATAGGGATGTTTAATCTAAAGCAGTGATTTCCAAGTTTTACATTGACTGGAGCATTCAGAAGACCCCAGGCAGCTCCTGGGTGGGGAAGTGAAGAACGGTTAGAGAGCATCCGGGAAAGGTGAAGTGGGCCGAGCGCCTACCTCTGTTTTGCCAGAGCCTATCAGGTTTATATACTGGGATGGTGCATGGAATTTCATGTGAAGGGAAAGGGCTCCGCTGCTGACAGTGTTTTCAAATCACCAGTCACGGAACGCACTATAAATGTGACTCATCAGTGGAGAGGTCACAACCTCAGAAAAGAAACAAGAACTCCGGAAGCATCTAAATGCTCCTGCCACAACATGAAGTCTAGGAAAAGAAAGTCCTCCTTAAAATCACCCATCATGTTACTATCAGAGGATTCAACACACGTGTGGATTGTGGCGAAGGTGCCTTCGTGATTTCCAACCTCGGGCAGCACTGGTGCCCTTGGACAATCATGTACTAAACTCCCTCTCTGGTCTCACTTCCCTTTAGTCCAGGGGTTTCCAATTTTGTTTGTGCCATGGCCCAGTTTGCAGTCTGTGAAGTCTTTGGATCCCTTCTTAGAATCAGTTTTCAATAGGTAAAATACTAGATAGGACCACAAAAAAGCTAGTTATATTAAAGTACACGTCTATCCATGGACCCCTTAGGGGTCAGTAGGCACCAGAAAAAGAAATACCTGTTACATTCAATACTGAGTTTCCCCCCCCCCTCTCTCTTGAGTTCCACTCCTCTCTTTTTTTTTTTTTTAAAAAAAAGATCTTATTGATTTTTTACAGAGAGGAAGGGAGAGGAATCCCACTCCTCTCTCTCTTTTTTTTAAAAAAAATATTTTATTGAATTTTTACAGAGAGGAAGGGAAAGGGATAGAGAGCTAGAAACATCGATCAGCTGCCTCCTGCACACCCCCCACTGGGGACGTGCCCGCAACCAAGGTACATGCCCTTGCCCTTGACCGGAATCGAACCTGGGACCCTTCAGTCCGCAGGCTGACGCTCTATCCACTGAGCCAAACCGGTTAGGGCCCATTCCTCTCTCTTAATTGGCCTATTAGGAATTTGCCACGAGAACCTAAAGCGCAACAACTTAACTTCCTAGGACCATCTATGACTTCTGAATTATTCCCTCATCTCCTACTAAACCAGCATCTTGGTCCTCTTGACACCATCACAGAACTGCCTTTTACACCCACCTTCTCCTCTCATTCTTTGCACTACTACCTTTAATAATCTCACCACTTCTCACTTGGGTTTTTGCATTACTCTTCTGACTCACTGCTGCCCAGATAGTTTTCCAAGTGTTTATATAAAGAAGTCAGAGCCATCATTCCAAATTCAAACAGGCCAGGTCGTTCCCCTCTCCAGAATCAATACAAAGTTCTTTAGCTGCCAATCCCAGCACGTCAGAGCCTGGCCCTGGCCTTCCTGTCCGGCCTTCCTTGGCCTCAGGAGTCCGTTTCAGTGCTCATAATGCTCACTTTTCTCTGAACAGATATAAATTGTTTCAGCTCCTCAAATTTCTGAAGCCTAGGGAACACTCTCCCTTTTCCCTTTCACACCCAGATACTGAAGTATATCCCCAATTTTAAGGACCTTGAAGAAGGCTTCTTCTAAGTGGCTTTAGAAGCAAGGGCTCTCTTCCTTCAGCAGTCTACGTGTTTGTAGACGCTTCACTTATGAAAATAATTAATTCGCACTATAACTTTTTAAGGGGACTATGCTCTCTCCGTCCTGGTGCGTCTTTTGTGAGGAAAAGAACAGTGGTTTATTCATTTTTATAGTTCTGCACCGCATGGAGGCTGAGTCTTCTGTTCGCCTGTCTGAGGCCTGTGGGTAGAGTGGCTGACTCTCCGACACAGGGAGCCTTATCTTGTCATCTCTGCTGCCTGAACCCCGCATTACTCAATAAATGATAGTTGCAAATTCTCAAATGTCTAAATCTCATATAAGCTTGGTGAAGATAACATTATTTTAAAAAGGCTGGACTTAATTCCATGACCCCAACATAGTATATTAACTTCTCTCTCCTCTAAAAAATAAGTACCCTGGACCCAGGGGACAGTTACTAGGAAGTGGTTGAAAGGAGGTGACTAATTGATATTTGCTAATAATAAGTTTGTCCTCTTATTGAAACAGGAGCCAGAGTATAGACAACCAAGTTACCTTTGATTTCAGGGTAGTACAGAAAAGGTTTTGGTTCGCTCGTTTCTAAGTCAGATTTCCTCCGAAGTTGGACGAACACGGAGGCTGGTTTGGTAATATTGACGTCTTTATACTTCGGTGTTTTAAAGACGATGGCAAACTGCAGGATACAAAGGTCCAAATGTTAAGGTAGGATTACTTTTTTTTCTAAGAATTATACTTATTAAACACACTCTTTATGCACAATGTTTAGATACAGTGTACAAAAGAAAATACAGTACCCTAGAGAAAGTTACAAACTCAGAATTCTATACCCATTCATTTTAACTAAACTGCCATTGTGAAACTGAAGCAAGGTTGTGCCGATGTATTACAGATCTTTATTATGTCATTTATCTAATAATTCAGATGTCTTCACTTGTACATAATCATGTGAAAAAAATACACTGCAGACACCTTTTCCTCTTTTAAATCAGCCTTAAAAGCTTCCAAGATTATCTGCGGCAACATCAGAAAGACTGGTTTTGGGATGAGGGAGATGAGGAAGGTGGTACTATTATCAGCCTACAGGCCTGTTGATGAAGACAGGTAACTAAACCCTTCAAGGAAGACATCATCACAGGGCCAGTTTATTCTGAGGTGAGACTGGCCAAGGCTCAGGGCATATACAGAGCATTCTGTAACACCTCTGGCATTTTTACTTATAAGTTTGACTTTTGGACTATAATATATTCATAGAAATAAAGATTTTTTAAATATAAAAAGGTATATAATGGCACACATAGAAAGTTCTTCTTGCCATTCCTATCCCCCATTCAAGCAATTCTTACTGTTTCCTTGCCACCCACTCCCACTCCCCAGAGGTAAACACAGAGAATTTATTAATTTCTTTTGTATTCTTCCAGAGTTTCTTTATGGATGTGCAAACATGAACATAGAATCTTTTAAATACACACGTTGTGTTATATTTATCTTTTAAAATGTTTTAATGTTGTACCTTCGAGATGTTTTCATATTAGTTCATAGAGTACTCATTATTTTTAATAAATGCATAATATTCCATCACATAGATACAACATTATTTAATTGGCCACGTATTGATGGATATTTGGATTGTGTCCGTGTGTGTGTGTGTGTGTGTGTGTGTGTGAAAATAGTATTCCTCAGTCACTCAGAGTAATCATTAAGTAATCATTAAGATGGGATTTAGCATTTTCATCTCTTAGTCATATACACATGATAACATTAGCCTCAACTAGAAGACTCTTCCTTTCAATGCTTTTTATTAGAATACCCTTGTAGCACGCTTTGCCATAATTATTCTAGTAGAACACTACTATGAACTGATTGTGTCCATCTCCCCCAAATTCATATGTTTAATGTAGCAGCACTTGGATATCAGACCTTTTATGGATAAAATTAAGGTTAAATGAGGTCATAGGGCAGGGCCCTGATTAGTGTCCTTATAAGAAGAGACACCAGAGAGCTTACTCTCTCTACCCTGAGAGGACACATTGAGAAGGCAGCATCTGGAAGCCAGGAAGAGAGCTCTCACCAGAAACCGACCCTGTCAAATCTTGATCTGGGACTTCTAGCCCCCAGAACTGTGAGAAAATAAATTTCTGTTGTTTAATCCACCCAGTCTATGGTGTTTTGTTATAGAACCTTTCCCATAAATTTATGGTAGATATCTTTTCTGAACGACCTATAAGAATCTTAAATATAGTACTCTTCTATGAAAGTTAAATAAATATTTATAATTTTTCCTTCCTCATATATGGAAACTAAATAGTAAATTTCAACATATCATCATCATCCACTTACTTGTCTATGCACGTCTGTTGGGGAAAAATCTCCAAATCCTTCCCAGATTCCACCATTTTCCTCCTCTTCATAAAATCGAATCTGGATGTCATCTGCAAACAGGCACAGTCAGGTGTACAATTTCACATAGTGTAATTATATTTATACACATGCTGGAAAAAAGTTGGTTCCAAGATTCTACCTACTATGTACTTAAATTTTTGAAAGTACTGTAATTAATAAGAAATTGACTTTTTAATAATTTAAAATTGGTACAAATCACTGAATTTTTAATTAGTTACCGTAGTAATGGGCCCCAGGTTTCATTTACAATGACAGATTTACCTATTCAATTTGAGTTTTCTCTTACTCAATCTTTGACCTTCCCACTTCTCCATCTCTAAACCAATCCACTCCTGAGAAAGATGAAGGATAGTGAGGAATATCAGAATCCCGAAATGTGGTTCAACTCAATAAAGACTTACATAATAATATCTAATTTATATAAATTTACTATATGGCAGACACAGTTCTAAGTGATTTATATGTATATATTAACTGATTTAATCCTCACAATAATTTTGTAGATGTGCTATTAATATCTTCATTTTGCAGAAGAAAAGCTAAGGTCCGGAGAGGTTAAGTAATTTATCCAAAATTGAAGAGTAGTAAATGGAGAGACCAGGATTTGAACACAGACACTATAGTTTCTGACTTAAATATTCTACTATTAAACATTCTCCTAAACTGCCTCACTATAATACTTTATTAATCCTTACTGGAAAACTGTTAAAAATATTAAGTTTATCAAGTCCCTTCAGATTAAATTTAGAATGCCGACATTTCACACTTCAGTCATGGATTTTACTTCTGCAGAAATATGACAGTGTAACCCAGGTTGGCATCTCCCTGGCCTGCCCAGGAATCTGGAAGTGTGTATTACTTGAATAGAATGGGTTTAAAAAAAAGGTTGACAACCAGGATAAGCAGAGAAAGTGTAATTTTTTTTTGGATAAAGACATATACATTTACCTTAAAGTCTGATTTATTTTTTCAGACTTTTTACCTCAGAGCATTTAGCCTCAAATGAGAATTTTCTTCTTTTTAAAGCCACAATTCACTCATTTAGGGGCTCTATTTCCACTTGTCTATCTGCTTACTTTAAAAATGCTCCTCACTTTGTAGTGAGCAGATCTTTATTATACTATACTTTCAATCATTTTATTTTAAAAATGAGTGAAGTTTGAGAAAATAATAAAATCTCTGTAAGCTTTTTCTAATTGATTAATCTATATTTCACACGATTAATGTCAAGAACCTTTTCTGAAGGTCAAAATTATTCTTTCTTTTCCTTAGCTGACATCACAATGTCCTGTGAAAGCAGCTGGAGAAGCTCTCCCAGCAAATTAAGCCTGAAACTCACTGGAGGCAAAAATGACAACACAACTCAGGGAAGATTCTTTGAAAAAGACAACAATGCTGGAAAGCCAGATGGCAGCCGGAGAAGAGGAAGAGCAAACATGAGATGGACTGACTCCATGAAAGAAGCCACAGGCATGAGTCTCCAGGAGCCGAGCGGGGCTGTTGAGGACAGGACACTGTGGACATCGCTCATTCATAGGATGGCCGGGAGTCAGAGCTGACTCATGGCACAGCATGTAATAGACACAAACATTAGTGTGTGTGTGTGTGTGTGTGTGTGTGTGTGTGAAGCATGGACTATTTCTCATTTCTGTTAGTTTAACTAAGTTCAGATACTAAACTTTGAAGCATAAAAACATTGACATGTCATGGATTACCACCATTTTAGAATTTCTCTTTACTTCTGTTGAAAAATTTTAAATGAATTAGTTGGGTTTAAAAAAATACAGATACAGTTGGAAGAGGTGAAATGTGAAATGTTCAAGGGATCTCCACTGTCAGAAAGTGACTCACAGACACACTCAAAATATTTCACATCTTGGGGTCACGTCATATATTTACCTTTCTGAACCTTGTCACAGAGAAGATAAATCTCTTCCCCTCCAGTTACGCATCCAGCTGTCCTGTCCATTCGTACAATTTTCAAGTTGGACGCATTGGGGGCTTCTGTCCACAGGAGGGAAACAAAAACCACCTTGGGTTAGCCTCAGCTCCACAAGCACCTGGTTTATCCTCATAAGCCGATCTCTTATGAGGGACCCCGCCCTGAGCACAGATTAACCAAATGAAAATTTAAATGGATGCTTTCACTCAGATTGTTTTAGCAAGGATACAAATGAAACAAAAATGCCTTCTGAAGTCTGCAGAGCACTCTTGGGTATGGGTCATTCATTACCACCCAAATAGAGGAGGCCGAGAGGAGCAGTCTCGGTTTCTCCCACTAACACAGTCAAGGAAACTGAGACAGAAAGAAAGAGCTCTTCTGACGTTCAGGGAGGAACGAAGCCATGGGTTGGTGGAATTTCAATTAGGTCAAGACTTAGCCCAAGCTTATTTCCATGATACTGATGTACCATTTACAAGAGTCCTATAGGTTTAGGAGAAACACCATTTTCTTAACCTATCTATTAACTTTTATTCTACAAAAAGGAAAAATGGAGATGTTATATTTCTTTTCCCCAAACTAAATTAGAATTCTGTGTGGTTAGGGGCAAAAGTTTTGTGTGGTAATGGTATAAAGCTTCCTTTTTTCTTGTTCCCCCAACACCTGCATTTTAAGATGAACTTTGATATATGAGTCTACATCATTTTATAACTCTTTCACTTCCTTTCAAACGTGTTTAAATTAGAGAAATCAGTTAGTTGTCCTGGGAGCCTGGAGTTTCCTACTCAGGCCAAACCCTAGAAACTGTCAATGAGCCTACGTGGTGCACTTGCAGGCTTTCTGGGAATATCGGTTTCATAAATCTCACACATACCAAAAATTTTACTACACAAATTTGTATGGTAAATTTGAAGAGCATTGTAAAACTCTTTAAAAATTCTAGGAACCACAGACTAAAATAGAAATTTGAAGCCACATACTATCTATGCTGCTCTCTCAGTTAACCTGAAGTTTCTATCTTGATAAGGCTATCAAAAATGTGAGAATTAGGTGGTTAAGAAAAATAGTTGTCTTTTATTAACTTTTGTTCAGACTCCCAATGGAAAAAATTAAGATACTTTTCTCATCTAAGAGCACAAACACTATACCCTCATAGCAAGGCCTTGGTAAGGAATGAGAGTTTTGGCATTACACGTGAAAGACTAAAATGAACATCTGAGAGAGGATAACTACATTTATTGAGCACCTTTTAACATTTCAACCTTTTTCCTAATTTATCTTGATTGCTGAAAGTATTACGGATGTCTCCTCCCTTCCCTCCTGACCCCCTCCACCCCGACATCAACTTTTTACATTAGATTTTAGTATTCCCGTTTTGTAGATGATAAACATGAGGTTCCAAGTAATTAATTACTTGCCCGGGGACTCAGAGCTAGTAAGTAACTGCCAGGGCAGGCTGCAAGTCTGTTCTTGACATTCTACGGAGCTGCCTCCCACGAAAAGTCAAGCACTCACTGCTGTCGTAGATGGCATCTGATACCACGGGTTCCAGGGGCCTGGTGAAGCTGCCGGTGCTGTCGGGGAGGAAAGCTGTAAACATGAGCCGCACCACGCTGAGGTCCATCTCCTTTGCCTGCTGAAGAGCTGCCTGGCGGATGATCTCCTTTTCCCGATCTAGGACCACACAGCACAGGGCAAGGGTGAAGCGAGAACGTTTTAGATGGAGTGCTTTTATCAAGCCCCAATAACATAAGCTTGAAATGAAAAAAAATTTTTTTTTAATTCTTCATGTTGTTAATAAAAATTTTAAATTTATCCCATATATGTCATCCAAAATTAAAGCCATCTAAAGAAGATTTGCATTTCCTGTGGATTACGGTAAAATCTGTCCTCCATGTAGCAAAGTGCCTCTCCTTTCCTCTCTCTCCACGAACTCTCCCTTTTCTCTCTACAGTAAGAGTTGAAGATACAAACAATGTGATGGACTAGAACGGAATAAACCACTGTGCATCAGTGGTTTAGTGAAATGTGAAAATTAAGTATCCCAAAACTCTTTGAGCACAGAGACTGTGTTCATTCCACAGTGCCTAGCACCCTCCTTTGCACATAGTAGGTACTCAGAAAGTACTTTTGAAGCAACTAAATGACTCAACTACATTTGGCTCCTTCCTTCCCCTTGATGGAACTTTCATGCTGATGGATATAATCATAATTATCTTATATCATAAAAGGTGATAATTCAGGTGATGAGGACAGTCCAAGAGCTACAGATGAAGTGATATGGAATTCCAAAGGAGGGGAGAACCCAAAGGCTTTGGAGCAGAAGAGATGTTTGCTCTAAAACTTGAAGAGATGGTAGGACTTGCACTTATGAAGAGGGTGAATAAGGGCATTCCAGAAAGAGGGAAGATTCAAGTACAGAAAGAATGTGGCAAGGTGAGGAAGTGAGAAACCATGGTGCCTTATGCAGTAGTTCAGTTTGACATGAAGGGACATGGTGGGAAATCGAGTTGGGAATACAGACTGGGGCCAGCTCTTGGGAGACACTAAGGCAGGGGTGGGCAACCTTTTTGTGAGTGCGTGCCAAAACCAGCAAAATCTCTGACTCAACATTCTTCTGCGTGCCAACCCTAATTTTTTGAGAACATGTTACGCCTACTTGATATCTCTTAAGGTGTATGTATGTGAAGAACCTTGAACAAATAATAAAATTCATTCGAGCGACAAAAACACAGTATTGATGATGAAAAATACATTTATTTTTTAATGTATACATGTATACTGATAGTCCGACAGAAAACTTTATGACTCCGTTTGATATTATCAGTGGGACTTTTGCTGCTGCATCACTGATGACAGAGATTTTACATCAGGTTTATATTTCGTGACCTTCAGAGATAGGCACAAGCTACTACTTTCATCCGCCAGGCTACTCCTATTATGAGACTTAACAAAATTCATCACTGAGAACAAAGATTCACAAGCGTATGTGGATGAAAACATGGAGAGTAATGCTGTTGCAAAGTTTTTTAAACAGAAAAAATTTTCTGGAATGGCATTCCAAGTCCTCAATAGTTTGTTTTCAACACTACTGAAATTGCTCTTCCCCTCTCTTGTCAATCCATGTCTATGGTCTTTAAGATAACTTGTTATGTAAAATTATTTATTTATCTAAGATGCACCTACACTGAATTTATCTGAAAAATAAAAAAGTCGATATTAAGAAAAAAATTGTAAATGGAAGATTATAAGAGAGGGTTTCGCGTGTCAGCAAACGTTATTGGCGTGCCATGTTTGGCACGCGTGCCAGGGGTTGCCCACCCCTGCACTAAGTAGTGGTGAGATCCATCTGACCATTGGGTGTAAACTCGATTAGAAGTGGGGAGAGACAAAACAGAGCAGCAAAAATGGAGTGGAGCACGAGAGAGAGCACAGCATAGATGGACCACTAGCTGGACATGCAGCACATGGTAGAGGAGGGTCCAAGATGATGAGGAGGTTTAGAGTCTGGATATCAGAAGATGGAACATAGTGGAAAATGATGATTGGATCATCTGAATGTGAGCTCATCTGGCCAGACTAAAGGAGAACATATAAAAGCAGAAATGGCACAGGTGATGGGACAAGGTTTGGGGTTGAAAGAAAAAAATATGAGCGAAGGCAGGAAAACATAAAATCATAGCATTTTAATGACAAAGACAATAGTTTACAATGTGCCTGAAGTATCCAAAGAAAGAAAGATTCCTTATAAGAGGGTGAGCTGGGGGAGATAAAAGAGAGGAGCTGTTTTTAAACTAAGTCTTGAATAATGCATTGGTTTTGACAGGTTGAAAAGGGAAAGATGGTTTTAAGTAGAGAAATACACATACAAAGGTATGGAGGTGCATGACTGTTCAGGGGGCAGAGGTGGGCAGAGGTAGGGGCAGGTGGGACTGAAGATGAGGCTAGAAAGGTGGGCGGGGCCAGACTGTGAGGGCTTTGTGTGCCAGGCTATGGAGGTACAGATTTTATTCTAGAGGTAGCAGGATGTCATCAAAGGTTTCTGAGCAGGAAAAGAGTGGGAGCAGCTTGGGGTACAGATTGAGAGAAAGAGAAACTTGAGGCATCCAGATGAGGACATAGTCTACACACGAGAAATAAGAGCCTGAGCTCTCAAAAAAGCAAGGATGGGAGAGTGACACTCACCTGTGAGCTGCCGGTCTCCTCCACCTTCTGCTTGCAAATAGGCAAGTTCAGGATGCACCAAAAGTCCGGGATTATAGCCCCTAATGCATGCATCTGTCATTCGAGCTTCCAGTGTTTCAAATACTTTTTTCTTTGTCACATGAAGTATACCTAGGTTTGCAAAGCTGGATAAATCAAAAACAACCAAAGGTTAGGCAGTCAATGACTGGAATATATGGTTTCACTTGAGCACAGAGAATTTAAAAACACACACACACAGGTCCTCAATCACTGGGGCCCACACCATAGTCAAACACGTTAGTATTTCTGCAGAAATATATAAAGTAGACTCACCAAATGGGAAAATAAAGATTATAACCAGCTGTCCCTTCAGAACAGATTGGGTTTTTCCACTAAATGAGTCTGTGGTAAATTTAGCAAAACCTTTCGGTTTTCAGAGTTTATTAGACTTTCAAATTATGATGAAGGGAGTGGGGTAGACAGGCATATATAACCTAATAGAAAATTTCACATGGACTCATTTTAAAGTATTTTCTAGGAGAGTTGTATAAAATATTTTAATTCAAATACAGTACTAACTTTTCTAACTTTTTCTCAGAATAAGAGGAATATTATATTTCGAATAATTTGTTGGTTTGTTTGTTTTTGGATTATCCTTGGATTTCTGAATGGAATTTAAAGTCTAGGTCCTGTTTGGGGTCCCCCTTCCAGGAATTCCACCTCCTCCTAGGTTATCTATAAGGTTGAAATTATTCATTACTACTAGAATGTTTCCTAATTTTACATGGATTCATGCCTGAAGGTATATCTGTAATCAGGGATGGAGAACCTTTTATTGTGATGGTTACATACCTATAGGACAAAATACGTTAATAAGCTAAATAAATCAATTTAAGGGATTTCTAAAGAAAATATATAAAATGCTCCAACCATTTATTTTTAAAATAAAGTATATGAAAGAAGTATCTACATTATAAAAGACCAGGGGTCCTCACATCCTAAATGACCAGACGGATGACCAGTCACCAGGAAGTGCATGGAGCACCTCTTGGTCCCTCCCCAGTGGCCCACAGGCTCCTATCACAGCGACAGCAGAGGGGTTCATGGGGGTGAGGGGGAGGTAAAGCAGGGGTGGTGAAGTTGTTAGCCTCTGGCCTGGGATGGGCGGAGGCCTAATGACCTCACTGCTGCCTTGGCGGCTGCAGATCAGGCCCGGAGAGAGGCCTGGAGAGAGAGGCAGGGCCTAATCAGCAGCCACCATGGCTGCTGGCGAGGCCTGGAGAGAGAGAGAGAGAGAGAGAGAGAGGCGGGGGGGGGGGGCGGTGTGGGTGCCACAGAGGCTATGGATCAGGCCCAGAGAGAGGCCCGGAGGCAGAGGCAGTCAGAGGCAGTTAGGGGTGATCAGGCAGGCAGGCAGGTGAGCGGTTAGGAACCTGCAGTCCCAGATTGCGAGTCCCACAGGGATTGGGCCTAAACCAGCAGTCAGACATCCCCCAAGGGAACCCCGATTGGAGAGGGTGCAGGCTGGGCTGAGAGAAATCCCCTCCATGCACAAATTTCGTGCACCGTGCCTCTAGTCTTACCTAATAATAGACAAAAAAGTAAATTGACCATCCCTCCGCTACGCTCACCAGCCAATCAGGAGAGTATGCAAATTAACCCAACAAAGATGGCGGTTATTTTGCATACCTAGGCGTGAAGTGGAGGAGCGAAGATTGAAGGCTCTCGCCAGAGCGAAGGCCTAGGTCCCAGGTGCCAGAGGAAAACTGGTGCCAGCAGCCAGGGGAAGGGAAGGCCTATTGCACGAATCTCTTCATGCAACAGGCCTCTAGTATTTAATAAATGTAATATAACAAACAAAAAAGCACTTTACTAAGGAGACTCATTCATTCAACAAATATTTACTCAACTCCTTATTAGTGTCAGGCAGGCAGTGTCCTATTGCTCCTATCAGCAATAAAGAAATCCCGAGTTTCATAGAATTTATATGCTAGTGCAACAACAGAGAAGAAAAGAAGCAAATTTTATAGTATAATCTAGAAGATAAGTGTTACCAAGAAAAATAAGGTAGAGAACAGAAGAAGTAGTAGAAGGCATGACACTTTAAAATAGAGTGAGGCCAAAAAGGGCTCATGGAATAGACAACAACTGAGCAAAGACTTGAAGGAAGTGAGGGGGAAGACGTAGATATGTGGAAGAATAGCAAGTGCAAGCACCCTGAAGTAGGGTCATGCTTGGTGTTTTCTAAAAACAGTAATGGCAAGGAGGCCTAGTGGATAGAGGAAAATGAAGAAGAGGTTCAGGGGTTCAAAGAGGGAAGTGGTAGCACAGATCTTTTAAAGCCCGGTAAGCATTTGGAAGGTCTTTTGTTTTACTCTGACATTCACCCAAAAAGAAGAAAAAGAAGGTAAGTATAGAGAAGACAGAAATATATGACAACTGGATTGAATGAAGCAAATAATATAACAATGTGGAAAGACCAGATAAACTATGGAAAGAAAATACAGGAGCGAAGGTAGAATGAGATGAGCCCTCAGACAGAGGCCCACAGACAGAATGAGACACATGTCCAGACAGTGATAGGAGAAACTGGGATAGTTGAGACATAAACAGAAGAAAATATGCTAAGAGAGAATTTAAACTCCTTGAGGGCAGAGATATCCAGTATCTAAAACAATGGATGTCTAATAAATATCTATTGAATCAATGAATGCATGAATTAATACAGCACAGAAAAATACACAACATGGCACACTACTATGCATGGAGGCATTGGTAATTTCTCAAAAACCAAATCTCCATTTTTTGGCCTTTTAAGCCTTATTCCTATAAAGAACATCCAAAACTATGGGAAAATGAGGTACTCTCCTAGGTAATGGCAATGGCAAATATCTTTGTAGCACTTTACACTTTATCATCTATAGGGTACTTTTCATGTATACTATTTTATTTAATCCCTGTAGAAAAGGCAACATCCTCATTATTCATTATGTGAATAGAGAATTTACTCTGGTAATAAATGAAACAATATAGAAGTCAGTCTTCTGCATCAAGTGATGATGGAGTATCAGAGACCAGATTGAACCTTTCACCTTAAACAACCACCACAACAAAAAACAAATGAAAAAAAAAAACAGCTTTCAGACACTGGACAATAGGCAGCACAGGACAGTGATTCTTAAGAAAAGGGAAACAAATACAATGAATCCTACAATTATGCTGGCTTACAGCTTAGAGTTTCTAGGCTGCAACACAGGAAGGGGGGCGCCAAACCGGACTTGGTGATCTCCCAGAGTTGAGGAGACAGAGTTAAAAATTTGAGGAGGCCAAGGAGGCTAGAATTCACAGGCACAGCCCCAGAGGGAAAAGAACCACATACAGAGAGATGCTCAGAGATATACAGGGGCTTCACCTTGAGTGCTCGGCTGAGTACTATCGAGCATGTTTGTGAGGAAATGACCCAAGGCTGGGAAAAGAACCACTAAAGAGGAGCAGGCAGACAATTCTTGGAGGACACACAGGGCTGGAATAATTCAAGAAATTTTGAAATACATAAATCATCAGGATGAATATTCAGAAATGCCTTACTAATGGTATCAAATTAACCCTAGAGTAAAGGCTGCTTTGGTTTCCCTAACAAAGCATAAAAGTAAGTCTAGAAAGAATCAAACTGTTCTCAAATTTACCTTTATCCCAATGCTCAAAAATATTTAAAAACATACAAAAAAAATACAGCATGTAATATCCAAAGTTCAAAATGTCTGCCATCCAATAAAAACAACAACTGCCAAGCATGCAAAGAAGTAGGAAAATATAACTCATAATGAGGATAAAAATCAATTAATGGAAACATATATATAAATGAGAGAGGACAAAGAATTTGTAGGCAAGTACACTGAAATTGCTATTATAGATATGGTCCATATAATCAATGGTCAAGAAAACAGAAAGCATTATGGAAGATAGAAAAGAGACCCCAAACAAACCTGTAGAGATGAAAACTATAATATCAGAGAAGAAAAATACACTAGATAAAATTAAGAACATATTAGACATGACAGATAAAAAGATTAGTGAACCTGAGGACACAGTAATAGAACTATCTAAAATTAAACAGGAAAAAAAATAAAAAATATTTTTAAAAGAACTGATAATGAGCTGTGACACAATTTGAAACAGCCAAATATACATGTGATTGGTGTCCCAGAGAAGAGGAAAAAGAGGAATGGAAAAAATATTTTAAAAAATAATGGCTGAAAAGTTTTTGACCAGAGATCCAAGAATTTTAATAAACCCTAAGGCACAAGATACATGAAGGACAATACACTGAAATCCATTATAATAAAATTGCTTAAAACTAATGATGCAGAAAAAAATCTGAAAGGCTAATAGAGAAAAAAAGATACACTGTGTGAATAGGAACAAAAATAAAAATGAGGAAAGATTTCTTGTTGGAAACTAAGACCAGCCAGATCACCCTAGAGCAGTACATATTGAGGACATGTAAGAAAAACATTGCCAATATAGAATTCTATACTCTTCAAAAATATATTTGAAAAACAAAGATGAAACAAAGAGGTTAAAAATGTACAACAACTGAAAGAATTTATCAGCATCAGATCAGTACTACAGAAAAACTAAAGAAGGGGCTTCAGGCAGAAGAAAATCAACTTAGATGGACGCCTGACTATGAAACAGAATGAAGAACACTGAAAATAGTTAATATATTACATTTTTCCTTATTTAAAATTTCTTTAAAAGATAATTGACTGTTTAAAGCAAAAATAAAAACAATATATTGCATCATGTTTTACACCAACATGTGTTATAATATATATTTACATATGTATATAATATAGTTATACATATATTTATTTAAACATATATATTTATATATATAAAATGTAGAATATATGACACAACAGCATAAAAGCCAAGAGAAAGGAAATGAAAGTTTACTGTTCAAAAGTACAGTATAGAGGAAATAGTCAATAATATTGTAATAACTATATATGGTGTCAGCTGGGTGCTAAACTTATTAGGGTGATCACTTCATAAGATATATAAATGTCTAATCACTATGTTGTACACCTGAAACTAATATAATAATGTATGTCAACTGTAATTAAAAAATTTATTCAAAATGAATACTATAAAATCAAAT